GTATACTGAAACGCGACACGGGTTGTGCCATCATGTGTATGAGCCAGAAACTGCAACTTGTTGATACAACTGGCAATCTTCATCATGGTAATGCACAAGAGTTTGCAGTGAAGAATGGCGCAGGTATAGAGAGAAAATATAATTATTCTTACGGAAACAGTTTATTAATCAAATAACGCGTTTTTAATAATATTAGTTGTTTATGCAACGTAGGAACATGTTTTAATAGATACAATTTTAGGCTTAAATAATTAAAAAATTGTCTCATGATTAATAAACATGATTTTTTTAGAGGTAGAAGTAGCCCAGAAGCTGGTGAATATGGTCCACGAGTGTGAGAAACAGCATCAGGTACAAGAAGACCCTTGCGAGCGCGCATTAGAGGTGGCCAAATGCTTTCGTAGCGGAATTCACTTACTGAAATGGACTCCAACAGTTGAAGTACTCGTTGGGGAAGTGTTAACCGAAGTATAGGATCAATAAAGATTTTAAAAATTATGTTTTTCATATCGTTTATTAAATCCTAAACATAACAATATACAGCCTAATAAAACACTATTTTGACCGGATTGAAGTTATGTATTATTATAAATTTACAACTATTTAACATAATTTTAAATTTATCCGACGTTTCGCGTGCTTTACAGCGTGCGTGGTCACGGTGACGTGGTGTTAAATAGTTGTAAATTTATAATAATACATAACTTCAATCCGGTCAAAATAGTGTTTTATTAAATGAATAAAAGTTATGTTAATCAAAGACAATACAATATACAGCCTGTATGGCATTCTGATAAACAATAAACTACAAGCTTCCTTCTTATTAGAATTCCAAATCGTAAAATGACTGCTTCACGACTGATTTGAGCGCGACCGCCGCTGCGAAAACCGCTGTGAGAGTTCGAAAAGTGAGTTACAGAATCGCCAGGCAGTATTTACAATTTTCTTAACCTAGTACTAAGTACTAATACAAATAATGGAAATACATAAAAAGAAATTTAAAAAGTTTGGTCCCTGTGGCAGTGTACCTTTAACGCTGGCAGCAACTCCTCGCTGTATTGCGATACTTATTCGTTGACCGAGGAAAGCAGCAGCTTTAGGAGACCGGTACTTAAACTGCAAACGCGGCAACTTAAATCTTTAATTAACCCCACGGCAGTGCATCCGTGCTGATGGCGCTCGGAAACAAAAAAACCAACAGCAAACTAATACTGGAGTGTCATGAAGCACTGGAGGTCATAACCCGAACCAATAGGGTTACCTTGCAGTGGATAAAGGGACACAGTGGATCTCTCGGCAATGATGCTGCAGACGAGCTTGCCTGCTGGCCCGTATCCGCTCCTTCCTTTGCCCTTCTCGCTGGTGCGAACCTGGATTCGCCAGAGATCCGCTGAACTCCAGCAACAACGATGGTCGCATGGTGCGGCCTGCAGACAGTCCAAAGTGGCTCTGCCAGCAGTAAACCCGCAACTGACAAAGCGACTACTAAACTTAAATAGAACCAACCTTAAAATAATGATAGGGACAATAACGGGTCATTGCCTCCTAAATAAACATCTTTATGTCCTAGGCGCGACAGACAGCCCCCTGTGCAGAGGCTGTTTCAGCGCAGAGGAAACAGTCACCCACGTAGTCCTGGAATGCGAGGCTGTGGCTAATCAACGTGAAAAAATCCTCGGAACGGTGAGGTCGCTCCGGGAAGCCTGTGAAGTGCCCAGGAGACTTCTATGCTTCTGGAAGGAGCTAGGCTGGCTAAATTAGCCAGGACTCGTACGCACAACGGACCAACCACGAGTCTAATTGCGGAGAAAGGAGTCCTTCTACCCTAACCTTAACCCCCACGGCCCAAGAGTCTCTACTCCAATGGGAACAAAATGGAAGTTGGAGGAAATGTTAAGATAGATTTCTTTGACGTTACATATAGTTTTTAAAATAGCAAACGAGCTATATTCTGCAGGAAGATATCGCTTTCGCTAGCCAGAATTCACTTCATCCAGCTCAGTTTACCAAAAACGTATGGTACAATTACTGTGAGGGTGAAATGAGATTGCAAGTGAATTCCATATTTGAGATTTACTTTGCCGTACCAGCTCTAATATTAAATTAATAGACAGTAAAGCAAAATAGTGATAAAAGTAATACAAGGTTCGCTTATAGTGGTAACAGCTGTAACAGTTTGTACAAAAAATACTCGACTGAAAAGAGTAGCGGAGAGTCTTGCTACTTTTTATCGCCGTTTCATTAGTGTAACTACACGAATGTATTACGCCTTTGGACTTTCAGTCAGTTACGTTTCGTGAAGGCTTCTAAGGGTAATATTCAAAGACGAGACTCAATCAGTCCATAGGAAAAATGTATTCGATTCTAACATACGGGAGTTATAGTTCCCGTTAAGCCTTGACAATTTTATCCTAATCCCTTTTTCGAGGTAACTCTAGGTGATCATGATTCTAGCAATGTAATACGCAAATAAATTATAACAAAACATAAACAATCTTTATCTTTCTTTGCGACACACTAGAATTTCGTCGAGATAAACAACATGCTAATCAATTATTTCTCTTTGCTTTATTTGCATTTGCTCCCCTGACAACGTAGCATACTTCCACTCATATTTTGTTGAAAATTTATGACAATATTTTTATGGTTCTTGGCGGACAATGTTGTCGACTATATTAGTACCTGCCGGTTTCCTTTCAATGTTTACATGTACAGGCGAGAATAGTTCACTCTCGAATCAGATTCGCACATTAAACTACTACTACCACTAGTCTAACACTGCTCACAATACCAGTATTAAATTACCAAAAAAGTTCTCATTAAAGTACGCCGTAAACACATTAGCTAATTGAGTACTGATGTCAAGAGGACGAGGGCTGTAAATTAGTATCGGCTTTGCGTTGATTTATTGCGGGATTACAGGATTATCAAGTCAATGCAGGATCTTACCATTTAGCTTTACGCTAATACTATAAAGAGAGTATATGTTTATAAAAGTTAGATTTTTCTTGTATACAAAAAGAGAAAAAGAAGCTACTTATTTTATTATTAGGGCAATTCTTTAACTACTAAAGGGCTTTTTTATTATTATTATATTATATTTTATTATTATTATAAGTGGGGCTTTTTTTTTTTTTTTTTTTTTTTTTTTTTTTTTTTTTTAGTGTGGAAATGTTCGAGAATCTTTGTTTATTCTTTACATTAAGTCTATATTTCGTATTTCCATTAAGGCTTTTGTTAAAAAGGCACGAAGTAGGTCATTCCTAACAGTTAGATTTTATGAACAAAAGATGGCATGCATTTTTGTTATATTTCAATTAATTTAATGAAGTACTAATACTCATATAATATTTAAATATAAACATCATGGAAACAGTACCAAAATTTGTTATAGTATAAGATCCCGATATAAAACCCCCCTCCCCGCGAGACATCATTTAATGAAACGTATTTTATATTCAATAATATGTCAATCTTGGGTTGCCTAGCAAATTTCAGTCAAGAGTATGTTTAATTAATATTTAAAAAAAAATTTTTTTTTTTAATTTGCATATAGTAAATTTTTTGAATTTTTTTCAATCAATATTTTTAATCAGGGTAGTATTATATATGTATCACTATAACCTTCTTTTTTACTAAAGATGTATATATACATTAGTGTCACATAAAAAATATACACATAAATAATTAATTGATTAAAAACAACCTAACGTTTGCATATTCTATGGGCTTCATACTTTCGATTGGTATAGAATTTATCTAATAATCATGCCGGTGAAATGTTTAAAAAAATATTTTTCTTTAATTAATTAAACATACTCTGGACTGAAATTTGCTAGGCAACCCATATGGATTATATTTATTGACATATTAAATTAAATATAAAATACGTTTCATTAAATAAGCATCTCGGTGAAGGTCGTTGTATATCGGGATCTTAGACCATTAGAATGTAATCTTGTTACTTTGAAATACATTTAAAGATTAATTTGATTTCAAATCTTTTCAAGTTGATTTCTTACACGAAATCGCTATTACATGTGCTGGCTTTGGTACAAAATAAGATGAGCTGAAAAGTTAACATAAAAAAAATTCTAGCATTTTTTTCTAGATTTGATTATTCGGTATAGGTACCTTCGAGAGCGATACAACGATTATAGCGGTACACAATTTTTCGATACCATTTTTAAAGTACCATTTGTGTTTAGGCTCAAAACAGACTTCAGTTTCGGCAATTACCTCTACAGTGGCGGAAAACCTTTATTCATCGAGCATTTTCTTCAGGTCTGAGAACGTAGGTAACACATAAGAAACGAAATACCTAAGACTCAAGACAATGTTTTGTATAAATACAACATGTGTATTTCCGTCACGTAAGATAAACAATGAAGGCTCAGGTGCACGGATCCTTAAATGGGACCATGTGCAATTTACGAATCTCAGATTCTAAGATACGACGCGCTCATTTCAGAACGTTACGAACGAAATATTTACGGTTTTATTGGGGAATATGGTTCAAGCTTTTAGTTGAATACAGCAAATAAAATAAAAGTAAGATGAACAAAAGTTTATTAAATTACTATACCATCGTACCACTTAATAGCTAAATTTCAATAGGGGCATGCTGACCAGTTATTGGGAGAAGCGTTATATTTAATCAGGGCTAATACGGATAACTTTGATTGCCATCTTTTAATCTTAACCTTAACCTTTCTAAACTTAATTATAAGCTTAAGCATGCGATAGTTTCTATTTTTTGTTTTTTAATTTCGAATTCTTTTTCGATTTACACAAATAGATTAAACTTAGTAACAGTTGAGGCTTTGTTTATTCAAAATGTCAGAAATTTAAACTTATCTGATCGCCTGTTAAAAATTACATAGCAAATGTTACTAGAAGTGCCTGCTCTGGCCCAAATTTGAAAATATCTATAATATTGATTATTCATTTGTTATCCATTTTAGCCCATTTGAAGAGCCAGGGTCAACGTTTGGGCAAACCTATATATCAGCCATTATCTCCTCTAGTACTGTTTCCATCGAAGGTGCCCACTTCATGTCGTGGATCTTCTTCCGGAAACACTTGCTGATTTCCAGGGCTCTCATGCAATCGTCACTGCTCTCTGGTTGATTATTTTCGCAGTCGTGGATCATCGTCACTAACTGTTTGGCTAAGTCGTCATCTAAAAATATTCAACGTACTCTTGACTATATATAGCTTTTAAAATATATCCTAACATTAAGATTATGCTATGATATCTCTTATGATTTAAGATTAACAACTTCATTCATTGCTATCCAAGGTAACTGAACGGTTCCTGAGTCATCAGGGTGCTTTAAATAACAGATTGTTACTCTATATTAACCACTCGCGTACAACAATAGAATATATGCGAAATACAGAAATGTTAATTGCCATGAAACGAATGAATGCAATGTAACAGTTGAAGAGAGTGCCTACTGGATATACTCTTGGGGCGTAACTCCGACGATTTAGGAAATCGCCACGCTTATAAAACTAAGAAAGCCTGAGTGAGCCTTGGCTCGTACGTAATTCACACGAATTAAACACTTGTAAAAAAAGTAAAACTTCGCTTGAACTACCCTGTGACAAGAAATTAGTGATATCAATATCAGAATGTTATGTTAATTGGGCCGGGAACTTATCAACCTGGCAAGTGAATGGTGCTGATCTCATTCCAGTACTACATGTTTACTGATGAAAACTACTCTTAAGCGCCATTATTTAAATACGTATGACCGTATGTGCGTATTATAAGCCTTAAGGAGGTATTCAAGTTTTAATGCGCTTGTAAATTTGTTGAGAGACTATAAATTCTTGATTTTATCTCTATCCAATTAACTATAACATGACAGAAAAGGAGAAAGACATTATGAAGTGAACTTGATTATATTTTAGGTGATATGTAAAATTGTTGAAAGTGTTTGCTTGTCCCACACCTTTCCCTTTGACTTCATACCTGCTCCGTGAGTTTTAGCGAACTCATGCGCTTTTCCATGGTGAAATTTCAAATCGTCAGTGATGAGGTCATGCTTAGATGCCATGCACATGATGGCGCAGCCCAGGTCACGATTCAGCAGCTCATACTCCTCCCGCCAGTAGTTCACGAAGTCTTGCATTATGTGCCCACCAAGATTTAACTGAAACAAAACATTATTGCTCATTATACTAGACTTATATTTCCTCTTTTAATAAATAAAGGGAATTTGGTTTTAACCAAGATTAATACTTAAACACCTAATAAACATATTCTTCTAATAAAAGTGGAGTAATATAAGTACCGCGTCTGTTACCATAAGTACAACGTTTTATAATAAAGCCTCTATGGTCTAAGTAGTTCCATGAAGAAACCTAAACTGTAGATAATAACAACCTACCTCTTTCTTACATTCTTCTAACGCTTTTGTAAAGCCCACAGTGAGCTTTTCCATGATCTCCTGGGAAGACAATGCCGTATCTATAAACAAAAACGAATAGCTCAATATTAGCAGGCGCCATTTTGTTAGAGACGCCATTTTGATGATCTACTGATAACGATGTCAGCTTTATATAAAGCCTGAATTCCATTGTTTTACTCATTGACAAAAGACCGACATATCATAGATGATAGAAGTTCCGTACATAGTTTAAACAATTCCAATTTTTAATGTAATATAATTACCTAACTACATAGTAATAATAATAATTAAAAATTCATAAATAGAAAATTAAAACAAATTAAAAAAGTTTAGCAGGTGTACCTTTAAAGCATTTCGTTGCTGTATTGCGATACTTATTCTTTGAGCGAGGAAAGCACCAGCTCTGTCGTCACTGGTACTATCTACCAGGCGCCAACTTAAATATTTGATTAACGCCTGTGCACTTGAACCCCAAGGCCCAAGAGTCTCCAAAGGGAACAAAATCGAAGTTGGAAGAAAGATCTTATATTTTAGCCGTTTATTATTTTATTTTTACCTAAGTTACATTTTATTAATCACATTTATATTATAGTTTACTTCTACATTGCTCATGTATTTTTTTATAGTAGCACTTGAGCAAAAGCACAACTTTCCATATTTTGTTTTTATTATTTGTCCTGCCCTTCACCATTGTTTTTAGTTTTTTGCTACGGTTGTACGTAGTAGAATTTCTTTCGCCTTTAGTAAATTTTTACCGATCTCTGTTGTATTAATAGTAATTTCTTACGCTTACTTAGCGTTTTAATTACAGGCAGAACATCCGCACTGAGCTAAACAATATGCAACAGGCAATTAAAGACAATTGCGAATCAAAAACGTGTCATTTTTAATTCTATACCTATTTGTTTGTCTGTAGATTATTAGATTATGAACGAATTTATGATATATGTATTATTAAATTGTATTTTAAATCTAAATAAATTTTATTTTATTTCAAGAACTTTAAATGTGATTTTGTGTTTAAATTAGGGATGCATCGATACGCTTTTTTGCCGATACGATACCGATGCCGATACACTTATAGGAATATCGTCGATACCGATACCAACGCTTATTGAATTAAAATTAAATTAAGGTAAAATATATCAAGTTAAGTTAAAGTAATTTTTATTAAAAAAATATATATACAAAAAATAGTCACAAACTTTGAATAATTTTAAAGGTTTTATTACTAAAATTAAGAATTAAGAGTAATAATTACAATAAAATAAATAACTCTTAATAATTAAAATTAACAATGATAACATTGTTGTAATTCTGTATTTTATTAAATTTGGTATCGAAAAAATACTACTCGCGATAGCAGTTAAAAGCCAACTAAATGATCTTCAAAGTACGTTCAATAAAGTCTCAATAAAAAAATAAAAAAAATCGTCTACTAATCAATCCAACAAGAGTTTTTCGTACTAACTACTAACTGACGTGAGACTGATCGTAAATTATCGTGATTCATGTGCACTTTTTATTTTTCATGTAGCCTTTTTTTAGTTAATATGTAATATGTATTTTTGCCCTCCTTTTCATTTTTTTTCTATTATGTTCAATTTTTATATTGTAATGCAACAAAGTGTTAATAAATAAATAATGTTTAGCGAAATGAAATACATATATACATAAATAATAATGCTTTGTCCCCAAGCGAATGATAGAGACAACAAACTGAATAAAACGCGGGGGATTTCTCGGGCAACCATAGTCCGTGGCTCGTTTGCAACAAAGTAGATCATACAAAATGCGCGTTTACATTATTTTTTTAAAGCGTGAATTTTGAAAAGTATCGGTGAATTGGCAATGAAAATATCGCCGATGCCGATATATCGGCAAACCCAAAGTATCGCCGATATATCGGTATCGGCATCGGTATCGGATGCATCCCTAGTTTAAATAAATATCCTTTATATTTAGGTGTATTATCATACTATAATGTGTAATTCAAAATGTTAGGTTTTTATGATTTAAGACTAACGTAACACAAAGAAGTAATGTATGAAAGCATGCTACGTTTGTTTTACCATTCATTGTTTTAATAATAATTTCCTGTTTTTCTAAGAGTTAAAAATTAGTTCGCCAGAGAAGTTTCACTTCTGACATGTGTACGAGTACTATGTACGCACGCACTTTTTATGTGTCACACGCATGAATAAGTATTTCTTTCTTTTTTTCAATTAATCCATGAATTTTCAACATTACTTGTATGTGAAAACTTCGAATTGGTTATAGTAGAATAACATTTCCTCATTTACTTGATTTCTTAAGAAATACGAGACTCTATACAATTACTTACGGGAATTCAATGTTTATTTATTCCGTTTACACACTGTGCCTTTGTAAAATATAATTGGAATTTCATTTACCAATAAAATTATCTGCGTTTACAGAGCGCTTTATAACTAAAACCATATGAAATTAAGTAGCAAAGCTAGGAGTTTGCATATTACTTAGCGTAAGTCCAGCAAATAAAGAAGAGCTACTACTTAATACTACTATATACTAGTATATAAATGAGCACACATATAAAGAAATAGAATAAAAATAATTTAGCAATAAAACAATCTTAATTGTTTCAAAAACTACTTTAAGGTATACAATATACATTCTCCCCATTCGACATAGGGTCCTTCAAGAAAAGAGCGTACCAATTCTTAAAAGGCCAGCAACGTACTTGCGAGCCTTCTGGAAATGTGTGTCCATGGGCGGCGGTATCACTTAACATCAGGTGAGTCTCCTACCCATTTGTATTACATAAAAAAACCGACTGTACTAACAGACTGTGTAAATAGTCTACAAATAATACAGACGCAATAAAAATACTATTTGTATTGATGGGCTTTGTTTTACTTAGTAGATGAAATGTTTTCGTAAAACGTAATAATATGATGGAGAGTGAAGACAACCACCACCCCCCCCCCCCCCACCTTGCTGTAATAATATAAAAAAGATTTTTATTTTGAACCCGCATAAAAACGATGTATTTATAAACCTGATGTAGGCCAGAGGATTTCATTAGTTTCGAGAACGTCACGAAGATGTGCAGCGTTTTTGTCGAAAGGAAGAGAGCGATTGAGACCGATTGCGAGAGAGTGAGAAGGGTGAATTACCTTATAGAAATTCTATTTTTTAAATTAAAAGTATAAACTTTAGTATTTTATATTTTATGCAAAATAATTTATTGAAATCTCAAATAACGAATTGTAAATTAAAATGCTACGTGTTTTTATTATCGAAGAAATAAATTAAAAAAATAAAAATTATTATTTGTATTAATTTTTGACACTTAATATTTTAATGACAATTAAATCCATTAAATTCCTAACATACCTTCCTTTTTCCCTCCCTCTAAGTCTCGGAAATTTAAAGTTTTAGATTTGAATAAATATGAACAAGAGTTAAAAATTAGTTTACCAAAGAAGTTTCACTTCTGACATGTGTACTTTTCACGCACGTACTTTTTATCACATGACAAACGTCGAGCTTTAAGCTGCACAGTATGTAAACCTGAGTTCAATGAAACTGTGACCGTAGAAGCCAAAGACGATCAATAAATAATTCAACATTCAAATTAGGTTCATATCTATTTAATCTAAGTAATGATTTTACAATACAATGTAATACCATTTTTGTACCTCCTTGATGAGACTAGCGACCCTAGTTCCAAAGACATTAATAAGGAACGTTGAATAGTATTAAGGATCCATATAAACACTAGGTAAGAATGCTTGGAAACATGCTGGTCCTGCTCCATAGGACAATCCTATGATTGGCTCTATAGCCTGGACAAAATCAAATTGGTTGCTGATTTTTTGCTAAAAAAAAATATGTTAATTTTTGTTATTATTTTTTTTTTTTAATTTATATAATGCTACAAATGTAATTATTTTTTTTTGTATCTCACACACTGTTTTGTTGTGTTTTTTTAATATTTTTATTACTCTTTAATGTTAATATTCTAAGGTTTCGATATTTGTAAATATGTGAGGAACATGTATACTAACTTTTTTAGTATAGTAGTTTATTCTAAGAGAACATTGTCTTCACATATAATTATTTAACAAATGTAACAAAATATTGTAAACCTATTTTAAAAGAGTAAGTGTGGAGTTTCTTGCCCATTCTTCTCCACACGAAACTACCTTTTGGAAGGGGCAACTAGAATCATCTTTATATTTTTTTTTTTTTTGACGTTCAAAAGTGCCATTTTAGATGGTCTAATTGAAATAAACGATTTGACTTTGACTTTGACTTTGTAATGTTCCGGAATTCCACGGCTGTTCATTGATATTAGTGTGTTTAGATTTCACTTGAACAGCTCACGAAAGTTATGTGTGATTAGATGTACATAAGTAGTACAGTGTAAACTATTTATAAATTGGTTGGTTTAACTCAAAACCCATACATTAATTCACTCTTTATAACGCAACAGCCACTCTGTATTACGAAGAATATTTTCATATTTAGACATCGACAAGTGTAATTATTTTATAATCAGCTTACAAAACTAACCTATTGAGGTGCCGATTTTTTTAAGAAAGACACCTTAGGTCATAAACAGCCGTCTCGCCTTTGTTATTGTTTGCATTAACACGTGTGCATTCTTAGATTAGATTGCCTGTAGGAAATTTTGGTCTGTACTAAACGCACAATTGTCACCTATCAATTATATATATAAATTATTGTAATTGGTTTTTGTTTTCCCCCCCTGCCTACCCCCTAACGAAGAAAATGATCGGTCCCTTAAAATTCGTTACATAGAGTATAAACTGTATTTAAGATGTCAAATCAAATCAGATTTGAATTGCCTTAAAGTGCCGAAGCCTCCTTATAGCTCTTAATTATCGTGAGCTTGCCTGATGGATTAGTGAAAATCCCACCACCTTGAACCTCTGATGCTACCCGTGGGGCTCCGTCCGTTCCCTTGGTTTTCTTGGTGCAAGATATCATATATATAATTAAGTGAGTTGTAATTGGTATATATACATAAACTCCTAACATTTATTACATATAATTTATACACATTTCACATTCCACTGACTAAGCTGAGAGGAGATTTGTAATCAGTT